CAACTCGCAATATGTCTCAGGGTTAAGTGTGGTTTTATGATGAATTCAACTCGTATGGTGTCTCAGTGTTTCCTTCATCATATTCTTATATAGAACCCTGTAACACTAATAAAAGTACTCACATATTTCACCAATTGGATTTTCCACAGCACTGTCGAATTGCTGAAAAAAATATTTAAGAAGTGGTTGCAATGTAGGCGCAATCGTAATGTAGGCTAAAGGTGAAGTATTAAAACGTTTTTGCATCACATAATATATTTGACAGTATAGAAATAACAATTACCTCAGTGTATCTAGTAGGTTGTTTTGTTCTAGAATACACATGATAACTATTACCCAAAGAATGTCTTATTAAAATATTTAAACTCGAATACATCTGAAGACCCTTTCGTACATAGATACATGTGTATGATGTGTATGTGCACCATTAACTCATAGAACTAACTCATACAGTAAGATATATTAGTTTAAAACTATAATTTATAATATCAACTTTTTGAATCGAGTTTATATTTAAACAACATGAAAGCTTAAGTGATTTTAAGGTCTTTACTTAAAACGTCCACCGATTATTGATTGTATGATTTGTTTGTCAAACAATATCAAATCACATTACAACGTTTGTGGGTAAATTCATGCTTGTATCGACTTTTCATTTATTTTTCAAAAGTATAATGTTTTCCAACCATTTTATTTTGTAGCCACGTGATCGTGTCTTTAAACGTTTAACACTGCTGAAAATTGCACAGAATGAAGGACAATAGGTGATACACGTTTCGCCATATTACCAATATTATTGCATTTTTGAATGCACTCTGCCATTTAATTCAACTACTTAATACATGTAGAAACCGTATCGTTACTGTGGAAAAACATATGCACATATTTGACAATATGGCTGTACAAATGTAATAGTAAAAGAATGTGTCGTCATTTGCACATGAATGGTAGGGATTTAAGGGACATGAATTATTACAATTTTTCTGTAGAGTAATAATGAACTCAAAAATGCACTGTCGACGACACGGTGTTTTAACAACATGAGGAAAATCTTATGATGTTTCCTCTCATTACAGTCAGTTAACTTATCTTGCATAGAAAGACAATGCAGAAACATAAAAAGAAAGGAGTTACCTCCCTTTTCCCTCTGCTCGTTCTTATATATCTTGACACATATCTTGCCCATATATGAAGGTTTATTCTGATAGTAATGGTCAATATTAAACAATAAGACAAAAATTGGCGATTTTGGCTAAAGGACCGTGAAATCTTTACTTTTAATAGTGTAATGTTCATTCACTCTTTCCTTGATTATATTGTAGATTCGTCTTCTTATGAAGTTCACAAGTCACAGATGTTGTTTTTTCACGTGAGCCTCTTAATATACTGTTAATTTTCAAATGATATGTTCTGAAAACTGATATACCGGTTTTTCTAATTTTACACCGAAATATGCCAAGTTTTGAACAAATATTCCAGCTACAAATTATAACATGAGATATTTCAGTAACCTTTATGAAGAAAGGCATTTTGAAAGTCTATTGAAATCGGTGGCGACTAACACATATATTTGACAGAATACATCATGACTCATTTCATCTGTGATGCATGGACGTTGCTTCTTCGCCATAATGTACTTATGTTCCTAAAAACACCACTTAAAGAGTGGACTATATATATTTTTTTGTGTTTGCAGAAAAAAAAGATTCTTAGCATGCTCTCTCATTTGTACCGTGCTGATAATGTAATGGATTACTCGGACAAAGTGTGCGTTACTTAGTACAAGCGGTTGTATGTTTAGATGCATGAAATAACGAACGTTTGTCATAACACGATGCATCAATTACGTTTTCTATTATGTCAAACTCAGTGTCATTATTGTGCCCGTACATCTACCAATAAGAAATATCATGAATATGTACAAATCCATTAATTACCAAATACATGCATGTCTTATTTACTTTGTGATTCATTCACTTACCCACTCCGTTAATGAAGACTCCTGCTTTTTTCGTAGGAAAGTGCAGTTAGGCGATTTCTCTGCATGTTCTTTGTTCATACGCAAATGGTTTTTGTGCAGGTGTACTTCTACATAAATGTAATTAAGATGAAAACTCAACATTAACACAAATGTCAAAAAACTAATATTACCGTTATTAATGGTACATTTACATTGTAATATGGATGTAAACATTTAACAATAGAGAAATATAAAGGAACAAAGCAAAGACAAAAGCAGCCGTTCATGCGTTAGTTTGGTTAGATACTTTGTCCTAAGTTTCTTACTCATATCACTATATCTTTTTATGATTTGCTTCAGATAGTTTTGAGATAATACTGTTGTTTAAGTTTTTGGCAAAAGATGGCAATATAACATAAAGGAACAAATTATTCGATAAAGGACATATCAAGAGTAAAAACAAAAAAAACAACACTTGTAATGTAAGGAAAATATATTTCAAGTTTACCTTTCCCGCAGTGAAAACATCGCACTTTGCTTTTTGTTCCTGAAATATATAAAAATAACTTTCAGATACCATCGGTATCGAAAGGTACTTATACTTTCTGTATTTTACTGGTAATTACAAGTAAACAAACAAACGTTATTTACCTTCAGAGAAGAATCCGTTTCTTGCCAGATCCATTGCCAAAGACTGATCAATTCCATGTCTTAACAAACTTTTAACTCTATTATTCCCAAATAGATAATTTGGGAATTCTGCACCAGAAGTAATACCAGCAATACTGTCTGGAAAAATTACATCAAATATAAATATTAATATGAAAACAATGAAAAAAATAGTTTTCTCGAAATATTGCTGGCTAAGCTGTGTATTTATACATGATATTTCATAAGAATTGTTATAAGTAATAAAAGCAAACTAAGATTAATTTCTTATTATTTTCTTCACTTTTTTAAACATTTTTAACATCAATTTCAGTCTATAAATTAGTTAAAATTAATGAGAAATATTATATGAAAACACACGTAATAAATATTGGCTCCTGATCAATATAATAGAGGTACAATGAATGAATGTCATTTTAATTAATGCTTACAATTTTGGTTTTTGACAAAATCTGAAATGAACACACATCCAGGAGACTGTTCTTTGTGTATCAAACCAACATTGTCAAGATCAGTGAGTTCTGTCACGTGTAACTCAATTCCACACGAGAAGCATTGTACTAAATCTCCACGCAGTGTATAATAAAACCCTGTGTTCACAAGTTTCGTCAGAAAAATTGTGTAATACTCATCCGGAAATTTCCGAAAGCTGTTCACCCTTGCTAATTTATGGGAAAAGTCGGTTTCAGAAAATGCACTTCCATCCAAAAGAGTGAACGACGACTGTGTCATGTTGATCTCTTTGAAACAGTATCATTAACGAGGAATGAAGCTGGAGAAAAAATGACAAAAATGAAGAAAGTTTTAAAGCAATTTTGTTCTGTCAAATATACAAATACATGATACATCTATACATAACAGTGTGAATAACTTTGAAACGAAACCATTTTCTTTCTACAAAATCAATCCCGAGTATGAATTCGTGATCAGATTAGCTTTTCCAGATACATGTTTATTACTATAAGTGCTCACATAATGACATAGAGTGGAAATATCAAACCTTAAAAAGCGTTAAAAATTGAACAGGGTATGCAAAATATACTTTAGCATAAAGAAAAAAGCACAGAAACTTCAAACGGGCAACAATTACATATTTTTGTTAGTTAACATTTGGTCTGTTGCGTTTGTGTCTATTTAGAATGAATACCCTTCCATATTTATCAATGAAATGAAGAAAGGGTTAAACTGTCTTCACAGCGAAACAATCTAAAGAGACAAAATCATCAATGATTACGTATATATCACAGATATATCGTTAGGTTTACAACCGTCCAAGCTGCATATATATTGTATTGAAAGAGCAAAAGCAATTAAATGCATAAATGCTATGAATCGGGCTTGTTAGTCTACCAAACATAATATATGCGATATCAAATATGTTACATTTTCTACTCCTACTTACTGCACTGTGGTAAGAATCCTGAGGGCAAAACGCATTCATTTATCATCACAGGCCCCTTTACATTCACCTATGACGCAGTATAAATGTATCTCCGATTTAAGTGCACCAGTCCATGACCATCAACACATAGTGTCATACTCAAACCATATGTAAATCTATGTAAACCTGCTATATTTCTGTAAACGCTTAGAACATACGAATTGTATTAATCGGTAATAAGATGGGAAAAGTAATCATAAATGTGAAAATATGACTTTTTTCTAAAAATACCATCAGTTGTTTGTTAGTTCTACATGTACAAGGAAGTAAGGTATATATATCAACCAGCTGAAAATTTACAGTATTTAAACTGTGCTTATCAAGCCTATTTATAGAATTAGTCTCTGAGCAAAGGCCACTGTTCCTGCTATCTCTCTCACAGGACTGTTGGCATTATACATGAACATGTTGTTTGTGCCCTTGACATTGGCCCTGTCAATGTTTAAGTGAATGCTTGAGATATAGTATGACATCAGACTATGATAACAAGTAACTAGGTTTTACATTTTGACGGCTGCGTCTACAATAACTGTGGTTGGGAATATTGTGATAAATAGCTATGGAACTCACTACGATTCTAAACATACTACAGTGGAGTATACGTTGTAATGGAAGGAAAGACAAATCGAGAAATATACTTCTGTCTCTTCGTACAAGAGTGTTTACACAAATACTGTGTATGCTGTTGTTATGTGAATATATGCCATTTACATTGTACAACCAACGTAGACATAAACAAGTTTGTACATTGATAGGAAATACCGTCAAAGGTCGATACAAACTAACGTCACATCACGTTTCGATTTGGTCTTATATACTGGAATCACTGTTATCTGCGGCACATCTACGTGTTAAGGAAAATCTTTTGCATATTAGTAAAAGTGGGCAGTCACTTGACACATCTCACCAACGAGCGAAAAAACTCCTCTTACCAAATATCGCAAATGGCAAAATAGTGTGTAAACATATAGAGAAAGGAAAAATGAAACACTTACGGTCATCGAAAGAGACAATAGAAAAATTTGTCCGAAGAAGGAAAACTTACAAACATATTTGCCTGAGTAAAGAATCAGACCTTTTAAATGGCGGGCAGATGATAACTGTGCTTTGTTGTTTTTCATCATCAATCAATACAAACATTAGCGAGATATGTACGAACCAGACACACAAGGTTGTCTCTGTGAAACTTGAGTCACGTAGTACCACTTTGCAAAGCATGGAAACACAAATCCGTACAACAGTAATGTATTCGGATACAGACAATTGTACGAAAGGAAGACCAATGTTTGAAGAAAGTAGAAAGTATCTGCAATCTAACAGGATTTTCCATCGATATAAAACTGAATATCAGTGTATGGACATTCCGCTGCAAAGACAAGCCTTGTCTAATACTATCACAGAAATAAAACAGGAAGTAATGTTATCTTCAAAAGCAGAAAACAAAAGGTTATATCAATACGGTATAGATATGCATCAAAACCTTCAGGTTTATCCTGTTCAACAATTTTCTTTGGAGCAGGCGTTTATCTCATGTGGTGAAGGAGGACAAACAATTACGAACCCAGAGGTCTTCTTCTCAAACAACCTCACACGATTGTCATCCTACCGCAATTTCCCAAGTAAATTGGCACCTAGTGCTATCAAACTGAGCAATGCCGGATTCTATGCCACTGGGAATGTTGACGAAACGGCTTGCTTTCACTGCGGCTGCAGATACTCCAGATGGAATCCGAGTGAAGACCCCGTTCAAACACACGAAGAAATTTCCCCAGAATGTGAATTCATTCAAGAAATATTTGCTAACGAAGGTCGTAACGGAAAAGTGGGCTCTCATGCTACAAATGGAATACTTTGTTCTGAGGAAACAGAGACGCTTTCTCGGCTGGATCAGACTGGAGATTCTTTGATTGTATATGGGAATGAACATCTTGTCAGAAACACAAGCATTGTAAATAAGGATAGTCTGAACGAAAGAAGTACCAGTCCCTGTAGTAACATTAAAATGGCAAACCCAACAGAAGATTTCCAAATGAAAAAACATCATTTTAATGATGGAAAAGGTTCTGAATGTGCTTTTCACGCGGAAACACCAAACATGACCTCAATTGCTTGTGAACTTCAAAGCATTTCTTTAGACAACGCTCCTTCCACTGTATCTCTACCTGTTCCTTCAAAACCAAGCTCTACATCATTATCTTGCAACTCCTGCTTTGAAAAGGTTCCATTGAATGACAAGTCTGTCCAGCAGAAGAAAAGAAGACACCTGGCTACTAATGGTGAAACAGCTGTACATGGAAATTGGAAGCAAACAAATCCGGACCTCATACATCCGCTGTTTCCACAATATATATCCTTGCCAGTGAGGATGTCTTCCTTTGCAAAATGGCCAACACATGTAAAACAGACTGCAAAAGAAATGTCGTTTGCGGGATTCTTTTACAAAGGTTATTGTCAAATACCTGTTTTTATCTGTCATTTAGATTCTGCTGTATTGCCAAGAATGATATTAAACACTAGGTTTATTTTCTTTTTAATTCGAAGGATACGGCGATGCAGTAGCCTGCTATTGGTGTGGAGTTTGCATTGTCAGTTGGGAGGAAGAAGATGAGCCATGCATTGAGCATGTTAAATGGAAACCACTCTGTCCGTATACAATACAGACCAAAGGACAAGACTTTGTGGACCTTGTACTGGAGCAACAAGGGCGATTATACCAAGTCAGTATGATACATCGCTTATATTCGTATTAAACATCACAAAAATAGTGTCATACGATATTTACCAATCTGTTTTCTTTTCTTTTCAGGGAGACAAAAGTATCGATGACTACAACGTTGCAGGTAATTTTACATTGTTTCTTGTAATGATTCGGCTTGTTTAGTAGCTTGTGATGTATATCTATATTGCAGTAGTAATTTTGTTTCATTTGGTAATGTCTTGATGAGTATATAGTTTTAGTGTTACGGATTGTCGTGTCTTCTGCCAAAGACATTTGAATAATACTTTCGTGATTATGGAGATCGACCATGATGCATTTCCGATGTCTAGTGTCCCACGTTTTGGATTGCAAGGATCAAGCACAACTGTCGGATGACGGTATGGCGATATCAGTACGGTGTTCCGAATAAACCTTGCGTATACTATTTTTATAGGTTTTTAAAATCGCTCTTCATCGTCCGATGCTTCATGTATTGACGTATTTTTATGCAATTAACGGCGTTTTGTATTGGAGGCTTTCCGATTTTATAGTTTAAGGCCAGTTTCGGCATAATTATACGGTAAGTAGTTAATTGATTAAAAATACAAGTGTAATAATTCGACAGTTTACTTTTATGTTAATGATTTTATTGTTGATTTCAGAACAAACCCTTTCCTCAAATAATGCTGTCGAAGAAGTAAAATACACAAAACTAAAAGAGATGGGGTTTAAACAGAGAGAAATTGACATCGCTGTTTGTAAAGTGTCCAGACAAAAAGGTAACAAACTACTGAAAGACATTGATTTCTTTTATAAAAGGCATTTTCCTGCCGGTATCGTACGGTTTAATTTGTTTTATAACATACTGGACCGCTATCAAGCGAGTATTTATAAGGTCTGCGTGATATAAACAGTATAAACTTTGTTATCGATAGGACGACTCGAACCTGCGTGTACCAACACACCGTATTTAATCGCTTCTGGTGGTGACAATTGCAAGCCTATGTGTTTTTAATATTTGTTTTAGCGTAAACAATGATGAAACTCATGCACAAGGAATTTATTGAATGACATTATCCCGTTAATGTTCATACGATCTACTTGCAAACCTGTTTACGGATACCGAACACTGCAAAGGGCCGGTTTCCAAAACGGC